AGTCAATAAGAGAGGAAGCCACTGTAGCCAGACTGGATCGTATCTTCTTTGTTGCTGAAGTATTATTATGCAACAAGAACCCTGTGGCAGGCTGACCTGACCTGATGAGCATGGAACAATGTCATTAATCCCAAATTGGCAATGTCACTAATCCCAAAGTTAAAGGGTTTTGTCTATTTTCCAGAACTATGCAAGGTGCCTTGGTCTCATATATCCATCTTTTCTCACGTTGATAGAGCATAAGGTATATGATCTTGATAGAGATCAGGTGTTTTGTAGACTGGAATTTCTATGTCTAAACTAGCCATGTTTGGTAGGGTTTTTTTTTTTTTTTGTCAATTTATCTGTGCTGTATTTTCCTCTGTCCTTTTTTCTAAGTTACTTGGGCATAAAATGTGCAGTTTTTGTTAGGCTATTGAATGCATCTGGTCTAAGTGTCTTCAGGAATTGCAATCTTCATCTAAGAATCTAATGTTATAATTTTGTCCATGCTAAGCTTAATTTTTAAGCATATTTATTTACTTTGTATTCATGTATTCTTTTTATAATGCTTTTCTAAAACAAGTAAATTTATTATATTTAAATATCATCACATCTCCATCACAGAGAGATCCTGAGTGGTGATAATGAGCAAACCATCAAGCTTATGAAAAAGAAATCAAAGCAAAAAGTAGATGCAGGTGCACACACAACCTACACACTTATATAATAAAAGTAATACTTCTAATTCTGTTTGGGGAAAAGAAATGTTTGGCCATTGGTGAAGAGGGATGAGCCAGTCAGAAAGGCAACCCACTCCTGAGGAATGGCAGTGGCAGTGCACATTCTGGGGGTTGGAGCTGAGGGAGCCAACAGATAACCACAACAGTTGGGTATCAGATCTGGGTACAAACTCTGGATGACTCCTGGGAACAGCAAAGGACTCTTTGGTATTGGTTTGCACCATGCTCCATGCTCCAAATACTGTCTGGTATGTTCATCCACCACCTAATTTGGCTGCCACTCTAGGCAAATGTTTAGGTTCCTCAATCGTATGCCCTTTATCAGGCCTTTATCAGGGATGGCCTTTTGAAAAAAATATCGGTCTGATTTTGTTCCTCATACTCATAGGTACCAAGTGGTAGCAACCCCTACTTTATGGTATTTAGCTACCAAAAGATAGTTAAAATATCTCTGATTGGCTGAGAAGATAGTTCTCTTTTAAATGAAAGCACTTTTTAGGAGCTGTGGTGGTGCAGTGATTAAAATGCAGTATTGCAGGCTAACTATTCATTGCCAGGAGTTGGATTCTGACCGGCTCAAGGTTGATTCAGCCTTCCATCCTTCTGAGGTTGGTTAAATGAGGACCCAGATTGTTGGGGGCAATATGTTGACACTGTAAACCTTTTAGAGAGGGCTGTAAAGTACCATGGAGCAGTATGAAAATCTAAATGCTGTTGCTATTTGTCAGATCTGAATATATTTAGGCAGAGCCTGCTCTGTAGATCTTAATAACAAAGTCCAGTGTCTTCTTCCCTACCAAAAGACAAGCAGATGAAGACAGGGTTTGGAACCCGAGTCCTTGAAGCATTGCATTTTTAAAATATGACAGTGGGAATATCATTGGCCATGTCAAGGGAGTTTCTTAACGAACAGCCCCATTAGAGCCTCTTGCAGGAGTTAACATCTTATGAAAGGCCCTACATAGCTAAGGACAAATAGAGTTCATTCGGAAAAGGTAGAAGCTGTTGCACCGAATGAATTTGTATAAGTCATAACATGAAATCCCAGAGAGCAAATAAAGTCAGAGAATATTCCTAGGTCATGATCCTACTCTTTGCATGGAATGCAATCTCTTATGAAACATAGGGATAAATATGAAACCCAAAGCCCCAACTTTATATTTTATTTATTTATTTGATTTGTCAATTGCTTACAAGATAATAGGTATAAGTATATACATAGTTATGAATACATGAAATGGGTACATATAAGAAAAATAAAAGAAACAATAGGACAGGGACGGTAGGCACGTTGGTGCGCTTATGCACAGACCTCTTAGGAAAGGTGTGAGGTCAATAGTAGACAGTCTAAGGTTAAAGTTTTTGGGGTTTGGGGAAGAAACTACAGAGTCAGGTAAAGTATTCCAGACATTGACCAGTCTGTTGCTGAAGTCGTATTTCCTGCAATCAAGTTTGGTGCGGTTAACCTTGAGTTTGTATCTATTGTGTGCTCTTGTGTTGTTATGGTTGAAGCTGAAGTATTCATTGATAGGTAGGACATTGCAATGTATGATTTTATATACCATACTTAGATCAGACTGAAGATGGCGTAATTCAAGGTTTTCTAGGTCTAGAATTTCAAGTCTGGTGGCATAAGGTATTCTACAACGAGTAGAGGAGTGGAGAACTCTTCTTGTGAAATATTTCTGGACTTTCTCAACTGTGCTAATATCAGATACGTAATGTGGGTTCCAGACTGATAAGCTGTATTCGAGTATTGGTCTAGCAAATGTTTTGTATTTGTAGTTAGTAGTGTGATATTACCAGAGAAAAAGCTATGTAGGATTAGGTTAACAACTCTTAATGCCTTTTTGGCTATGTAGTTACAGTGGGCTCTAGCACTTAGATCATTAGAGATGAGTATTCCAAGGTCCTTTACAGAGCTTGGATCATCAACAAGATTTTGACTACTCAGCTTGTATTTTATTTTCTGATTTTTTTTTGCCAATATGTAAGACAGAGCATTTATTTGTTGAGATTTGAAGTTGCCATTTGTTTAACCATTCTGATACATAGTCAAGATCTTTTTGAAGGGTAGCAGTATTGTCTGTGGTATTGAACAGCTTTACATCATCAGCGAAAAGAACGCAGTTTCTCTTAATATGATCACAGAGGTCATTTATGTAGAGTATGAAGAGAGTTGGTCCTAGAACACTGCCTTGGGGGACACCACTATTGACAGGTACAGAATTTGATAGGACACTCCCAATTTTGACCATTTGTTGTCTGTTTGACAGGAATGCCTCTATCCAGTTATGCAGGTGTCCAGAGATACCATAAGATTTTAGTTTTAGGAGTAGTTTGTCATGTACCACTGAATAAAAGGCTTTACAGAAGTCTATGTAGATTGCATCTATTGCTTTGCCCTGATTGAGTTGTGTAGTCCATATGTTTTTGCAGTGTAAGAGTTGCAGATTACAGGATAGTTTTTTCCTGAAACCAAATTGTTTATTGGAGTGTAGGTTGTTTGTCTCTAAGTGGAGGATAATGGATTGGTTAATAATTGATTCCATGACTTTACAGGTGACGCAGCATAAGGAGATTGGTCTGTAATTTTCAACTAAGCTGGGGTCTCCCTTTTTGAAGATGGGGATGACCGTGGCTTGTGACCATAGGTTAGGCAAGGAGCTGGTCCTGAAAGATTTTTCAAAGATTATGCTTAGAGGTTTGGCTATGGCAGTGGATAGCTTTTTTAAGAAGTAGGCACATATTCTGTCCGGTCCAATAGATAGAGATGGTTTTAGAGTGCGTAGTGCTTTTTCAATATTGTCTTCTGTAAAATCGATATGTATTAGACCATTGTAGTTTTCTGTGGTTTGGCTAGGAAATACTGGGCATGATCCATTGCTGTTTACAAATACTGAGCTGAAGAATGTGTTAAAGATGTTGGCTTTAATGGTGTTGTCGTTGCAGTCTTATTCCTTCAAAACAGCACTTTTTTTTGCCAGAAATTTATTTTGGTTCGCTTTCTTTATGTAGAGTGTTATAACCAATATAGCACATCAAGCCAAAGAGGAAGAGAACTGAATCTGGCCAGCAGTTGACACCTTCCAAAAGGGCCTCCAGCGGATATAGGAAGCCTGTGGAGAACTTGGGGATGAGGTAGAATTCAAATCCTAAATATTATTTTAAGTCAACGAATGAGACATTTAAGAATAGGCCCAGCCATCAAACTAACATTGGTGGAAGACAATCAAAGAAATTTCAGAGAAATATTCTTCATAAGCCTGATCCAACTTGGCACCTGGGAGGTGTCCTATAGCTATCAGATAGGTAGTGCATAAGTATCTCTCAGTGTTCACGGAACAGGTGAAAAAAATCTGGTTAAATCAAGGAAAATATGGTAGCTTCTATCCTCACTCTGTACTGCTAAGTGGTGTCATGAAAGCACAAGTAGCTCAGCTCAGATACTTTCTGATACCCTCCCTTTTCCAACAATCTCTGCATATGGTTATTTTTTAGTGCAACAAAGCCATATACAGAATATCCAGCATTATAGGCCTGCATACAAAGTGCCTTAGCGGTTATAGCTAAATATCCCTTCCCACAGAATGATGGGAGGGTATACCCATGTGCTTGGGTGCCAAAAAGATCCATCAACATCCAGCTGATAAGGTGTCCCTCCTGGTTCAGAATCCCACTGCTAGGGAAATGCTGTATCATTTTGGCCAGATACCTGCGGCTTTGTTGATTGCGCCCGTAGGCCCAGTTTTCATTCAGTAGATCAACGCTGGAACTATTCAAGGAGGAAAGTCTGAAGCCGGGCTCTAGCCTGGAAAAGGTGAAAGGCAAAAAGAACAAAATCAAAGAGATGAGAACAGAAAATTAAACGGTTAGTTCATCTATTTAGTCCAAGGGTTCTGGGAATTGAAGTCCACAGGTCATAAAGAAGACATCATTCCCCACCTCTGATTTAGTCCAATACTGGCCAGCCAGACAGGGTAAGCTGTTCCTGGAAAGGGCAGCTGATTATCCAGGGCATGATTTATGATCCTTCTATTTCTGTAAAAGTGCAGAATCATGAATTGATTCCATTTTCCTCCATCAAAAGTACAGAATTCTGTTTTCGGTTTCCATGCCACCCATGATTATCGGAAGGAATGCATTTCCAGTGTCTCATATATTATAAAGCAATAAAGAATAAGATGCAAATATTCCATTTTTATGAGATGGGAGTTTCAGGTAGTCTTCCCCCCCCCCCCCCCAGGCCAGACCAACTGAGCTTTGGACAAGCCAAAAAAAGAAAAAAGAAATGAAATGAGGAGATGTGATCCTGTATCACAGTCTTTGCTAATGGATGATCTTTCAGTTTGTGAATTTGCAATCAAACCTACTGATGTTGTACTACAGTGCTTGAAACTGCCAATCAGATTTGTTTTAGCATTACTGTACTCCACATCCCATTTGCTCTAATATCCTGCCTTCAGAAAGCCAAGCATTCAGGAAAGCCTCAAAGCTTACCACTTTTAACAATTAATCACTTTTCCAAGGACCATCATCATGCCTGTTATAGTTTTTTTCCTAACTTTTTTAGGCATGCTTTCTGTTATACCTTTCCTCCTGTGTGACTCTGCCTCTCTGTCCCTGGAGGAATCAATGTATCCTATAGGAATCCTGTTGATTTTGGCACTCGACTGACCCATAAACAATGTGAGTGCAAATTTCAAAGACAGCCGCCATTACTGTGGGAGCCTGATTGTAACAAAACCTTCAGAATGCCTTAACAATTTTGCCTCAGGCCTCAACGTTATAACAGTGGTGATGGCCAACAGGATGGTCACTCACCTACCAGTCTGAAATTTATTTGGATCTGAAAGCACATACAGGAAGTAAGGAATTACAGATAACTTTGTTTGTTTAGCAGCTGCTGCATCCTGGGTAGCTTCGGGTATCCCTTCTTGAGTCCCTGGAAAAAAACAATAAAAAACTCATTGACCAAGAAAAGGCTGTGTGCACAAGCTGAAAGTACAAACAGGCAAGATATCGGAGATCTACATGACCCCCGGACACTGCAACTGTCATAAATATGAGTCAGTTGCCAAGCAGTTGAATTTTGATCACATGACTATGGGGATTCTGCAATGGTTGTAAGGGTTAAACTTTCACACAAGGCTTCTGTATTTGGCTTTCTTTTTGTAAAATAAATGATGACATGGTATAACATCTTATGTGTTGTTGTTCATCTGAGCTTGTACTTTTAAGGACTTCTAAGGACCTGATTAGTTTTACTATGTTCCGATACGTAAAACCATAGGACTCTAAGAGGTGTACTTTCTTTTTCTCATGACTTTGGTCTGGATCAATCCAAATCACCATTCCTGCAGTTTGATCTAGATGTGGGTCATGTTTAATTTGATAGTCATACAACCTTAATGGCTTAATAAGAAGCTGACAGGACATTAAAAGATTCAGGTCTATAGAGCCTGTGTCTTGAGCACACTCTTATACTGCAGCGAGTTTTGCACCATTTATGCATGGCAGGAGAGAAAGTTGAACACCCTTCATATGTGTTGTCTTCGGTGTATTCTTGGCATCAGCTGGCATGACAAAGTTCCAAATAGTGCAGTCTTGGAACGTGTTGTAATTTCTAGCATGTATATACTATTGAAACAGCGAAGTCTACGCTGGCTTCAGCATGTCATGAGGATGTCTGATGGTCGGATTCCAAAAGACTTCCTGTATGGAGAATTAGTGCAGGGAAAGCACCCTAGGGGGAAATCACAGCTGC